CACAGCTCTGTAGTGCAACAGTGCACATGGAGAAAGCTCTGTGGATCTTCTCTCTCTCCTAGGCATATTGTATATAACAACATCAGCAGCCACTCTAGTTGTAGAGGCAGCTCTCTACTTCCCCTCCTTAGTAGTTTTGGCCAATTCCTACTGCTGCTATTAGTATATGCAAGTCTTTGCAGGAAGTGGGAGATGTCACTGCAGAGATTTAACCTCACATTGCATGTGGGACTCTTTTATATGTTTTGCATGTATAAAAAGGCTGGGGGCATTTGTTTGTTTTAATCAAAAAGTAGTTTCTACAAACGTTGGAACTCATGTAGGAAAGACTCTTAATTTTCTTTGGGTGATAGGTGTTTTGTAGACCTTTAATTCTGCATCATCCTAAAGCAAACTTTGAAAATATCCAGAGTTGGCGCAGATAACCATGATAAAGTATAGATGCAACAGACATTTACGCAGGCTAAACTTCACTAACCTGGAGAGTGTAGACAAAAGGAGGAACTCTGATAGTAAAACTGAAATTCAGAGCTTTTCTATATCAGGAGTGGTTGATCTATGGCATGAGTGTTGTAAGTGATGTGGGCAACGTCTGTGTTTGTCACATGACAGATTGGGGAGGGGGCAGGCAGCACAGTGGTAAATAGGGCAAGGAGCACAGGACAGGAAACAGAAAGTAGAGCAGCAGATCAGGTGGGAGGAGGATCGGAGTGGCACTTGAGGGGGTAGAGCTGTTTGGTGGCAAAGGTTAGCCCCCATTGTTCAATGTCATTCACTACTAGTGGAGGTCATGGACACTAGCAGTTCAACAAGCTTTAAAATGAATTGGATAACTTTCTGAGTATTAACATTTGCAGTTACAAGAATAAAATATTAATATAAAAATAGAAACTATGTTAAAAACTGATAGTCATGGCTGTTCTCAATTTTAGTCATTACTGGCATGACAGGTTAGGGGAGAGAAAATTGACAATGTTATGGCAATTATGTAGATTATGAGCTGGGGATATACAGATCAGGGGCACATGAATAAATTATACTCGTGGCAGACAAAGATCTGGTGCGGGGGTTTTGGTTTGTTTTTTGTTTTAAATAAGGTGTGGAAATATTCTGCCCTGAAACATGTTTTTTCTTCTAGCCCAAATTCACCTCTGGATGAATTGGGGCAACATTTACCAACCTCTCAAATGCCTGCCTTAAAGTGCAGAGCCTGCTTGTTTCTTTCACTTTCATTGCAGACTGTTTGTTGTGTACAACTGCCACATTGAGATTTTGCATCAGGTTTATGCCTTGAGCTTTCCCTGTACGCTTTTGTGATTATAGTCACAGACCAGGAGTGAAATGCAAGTAGATTTCAGTACAAAGATAACTGAGGTGGTTAATGGACAAGAAAGTAGTTGTTATGAAAGCAAGCATACAGCTTTTATACTTTCCAGACTGTATTTTTAAATTATGTTAGAAAATGGCAAATGGCATCCTTATTTATTCATTTATTAATGTTTTGCTTATGCTTTGTTTCAAACAGCTGCATTAAGATCATAATTGGAATCGGGTGCCTGTGATGACTTTGGCCAGACACTTGCTTCCAGCTTCACAGCTGTTGGTTCCCACAGAGAATCAGGCCCTTAATATAGGATTCATGAAATGTGCGTCCTAGTCATAAAGGTTGGCTTCGAAAGTTATATTTTTGTGCCCAGTTTTTTTTCTTTATGAAGGAAAGGGTATGCAAGCTAGAGCTGAACGCTCTAAAATCGAGACTCTTGGGTCCAGCATATTTATTTATTTTATTATTTATTTCTTAAGAGATTATAACAAGTCTAGGTGCTAGCATATTTTGAAATCAGTTTCATTTTTAGAGAAAAATACTAAAATATAACTAATATAAATCAAAATGTAATTAAAAACAATTGTATCAGCCTTATCTGTCTGATTTCAGGTTTCTTCTCATATCCTGCCGCCTTAGTGCTTTTGAGTAATGATGACAGTACTGTATCTCTTTATGCATTCTGCCTTCTTGTCAAATCTATTTCCATTTCTCACCATTGGTTTTTATACCCGGCTTTCTGTATCTCCCATCTTATCCAGTTTGTCCAGTATCACCACTAGCTGGCTCCCTCCTGTAACATTTTCTTCAGTTGAATCACAGTCTCCTGTTGGCTCTCTACTGTTTCACACTTCAATTTTACCACAAGCCCATTCTCATCAGGGTCCTCACCTCAGTCTGCTCTCCTCCGTGTCTGTGCCCCAGCTCTTATCCTCTGTATTTTTCAGTCATTTGGCTTCATTCTCTTCATTGTTGCTTTGGGCCCAGCAGGGAGGTTGAGAGAATAGAGGGGACAGGCTTCCTGCCATCAGTGCTATTTTAGTGCTGTTAGGGGAATGGAATATATTTAGTAATTTAGTTGAGACAGCAGATATTATTCTGCTCATCACTAGGAGCTGTGATGGGATGGAGCATGCTTAGTGAGGACTGAATCCTATTGAGCATTGAAAAAGCTATAAGCCTTTTAGGATGCTTAAACTTGATGACTGACAGATGATGGTAAAGTGATCGTTCAACTAAAAACAAATTGCCTGGGAGCAAGTGATCACAGTCTAATATTATTTTGTACAAAAATAATATAATGCTGAGTAATGTATGGTGTTTTAAAGAGGTCGGTTCTCCAAACCTGAAAATAATAACAAAATTGAGGGGGAGGAAAAAGATGAATACAAAAATGTGAATAACTAGTACTTTAAGGATTCTTTAAGCCCCCCTAAATAATTCTTCAATTATGAGGTTTCTCACTTTTTAATTAAAAAAAAAAAGAAAAAAAGAGAGAGCGAGAGCATCTAGTTTAAATGGGAAGCGAAGGCAGCTATAAATATGCACATATGTATGTGCATAAGAAATGGGGGACTTGGTAGCAATATAAAAGGACAGTTAAGATGCAGACACTTGAGAGAAGGTGAAGGTATTACTGAAGTGCATAGCTAATAAAATTAAGGGCAATAAGGAATATTTCAAATATATTGGCAACAAACTAAATCCTAGTAGTGATATCAATCTGATAGTAGAAAAAGACGGTAAATTGTTGAATGCGACAAAGACGAGGCCAAAGTAGTCTGCCTCTACCACATCCTCGAGTAATGAATTCCACAAGTTACCTACACATTCCATAAAAAAGTACTCTCTTGCTAGTTTTAAACCTGTTGCGTATTAATTTCAGTGTTGTTCGGTAGTTCTAGTATACTGGGTCTTGGTGAACAGCAGTTTGTTATTCACTTGGTCTATATCCTTCATGATTTTAGAGACCTCTCACATTTTTTCCCCGCAGCCTTCTTTCCAGGCTGAAGAGTCCTAGCCTTTTTAGTCTGTCTTGATCATTCTGCTTGCCCTTCTCTGTACCTTTTCTAATTCTGTTACAGCCTTTTTGAGATGTAGAGACCAGAACTTCACACACAATTCAAGATGTGGTCGCACCATGGATTTGTAAAATGGTGTGATAATGATCTCTGTTTTGTTTTCAGTTCCCTTCTTAATGATGGCCAACATTTTTATTGACTTTCTGTTCAGTGCTGCACACTGAGCTGACGTTTTTAGAGAACTGTCTACAATGACTCCATGACCTCTTTCCTGAGTCGTAATATAAAAATGTAATACCAATTTCCATTAGTTAATTTTGAATTCAGGACATGAAATACAGCCGTTCAGTACAGGGGTCAGCAACCTGTGGCCTATGGGCCAATGTAGCCAGCATAGAGATTTTATCCATCCCATTTAGCCAGAGAGATGGCAGCAATTGGTAAGGGGTGTGCGGGGAGAAATAGGTGCAGCAATCAACATAGGGACGGAATTAGTGCCAGTGGCTTGCCGTATACCCAAGCTCCGTTAATTCAGCCTGCCATTGCTGGCCTCACAGGTGGAGTAAATATTACATGGTGGGCACATCTACATGAGATGTTTACTGTGGAGCTGCCTAATTGGCTCCACAGTAAAATCTCAATGCCTACATGTATGGCCCTTTTAGGCCACAAGAAACTAATTAACTCCACCACAGGTTAGTACTTCTAAATACAAGTACTGCCCTGTGGCGGAGTTCTTTAGTGCACATTAGTGCATGTGTAGACACTGACTGGGCTGGCTGGGGCACATGGGTGCTTCAGTGCGGGTGGCTGCCTGCTGGCTAGCCCTGCACTGGAGCACCCTTGTGCCCCAGCCAGTCCCTCTGCAGCGTGTTGAGCTGGGTCAGAGCAGCCCCGGGCTGACAGGCTGACCCTCCAGGACTCTGCCAGTTGGGGCTGCTCTGATCCAGTCCAACATGCTGCGGTCCCAGGTGCATGTCCAAATGTGGCACCCAGGAGCAATAAACTCCAGTGCAACATGCACGGGAGTTTATTGCTTTGTACTAATAGCTCGCATGGATGCACCCAATATGTTAGGAAACTGTCGTTTTAATATTGCAACCATTTTTTTAAATTATTGTTCTCATGGAAGGCTCATCCTTAATTTGATGATGCATTTGTGATTGAGGATTGTACAAATTTTAAAAATTGTCCTACTTGGAACGTGCTTGTTTGAAATATAAAGCTAAAGGAGGTATTAGAAATACGATACACAATTACAGAGGAACACCTCTGGTGAAAACAGTTTCATCCCTCCATGCTCTACCCTAGTTTTTTACCTTGGGCAAAATGTTCTTTTTCTGATGTAATATTGGTTGACAAGCCTGTGTAAATTGTCCTTTTCTGAAGATCACATTGAAGTCACACGTGTGGTTGTTAGGAAGGAAAAGTATATCAGTCTTAACATTTTTAAAATAAACCTGTTTTTTAATAGCAATATCAATTAAAATAAGTATGAGTTGTAAAAATACCGTGGCTTTTTTAATAATCCTGACTTGATTTTTTGAAGCAGATATAAGATTTTTCTGATTCATAAAGCATGTTTTCTATACTTATTTGCAGATTCTTAAATTGGTGAATATGTATTTGATTAATTCTTTTTCTTTGTCATATAGTTCTTCTACCTTTGATAGATCGGATGGGAGATGCCAAAGACCAAGTTCGAGAGCAAGCCCAGAATCTCATATTGAAATTAATGGACCAGACAGCATCACCAATGGTATGATCACTTCTGGAAATCCAGACTTAGGCCTTTATCTGCTTTTACTCACAAACATTACTTTGTACGAATGAGTAATGGTATTGAAGTCAAAGCATGTAAATGTTAGTAGGATCATGGTTTTAAAGCAAAATAGTCCAAAACTATTAATAAATTATTTGAAGATTAGAAATCTGGTAGAAAGCAAACAAGGTTCTTTGGATAAATCCAATATCTTCTGTTAGAGCAACTTAAATAGTCAGAAAAATTCTTAAGCTTTTGGGCACAAACACCCTTCGTCAGGCTGAGGAAGTGTCTGCAAATGGTCTGTGCTCTTCCTGAATGGAGTGGCAAAGCAGCCAGAGGCCAGTATGTATGCAAGAAAGCCAGTCAGTGAAAATGTAGTCAGTTAAAACTGACTAGCCTTCTTGCATATGAACTGGCCTCTGGCTGCTTTACCACTCCAACTATTTGAGTTGGTCTAATAAAAGATATTGGATTGACCCAAAGAAACTTGTCTGCCTATGTCCTTAGACCAATATGGCTACAAACCCACACTCCTGGTAGAAAGCAATGCACTTCTCTGATAATACTTAGATAGTATAACTATATCTTGACTAGTTGGGGTAAACAGGTGAGAGGGTAAGAAACTCTATTTGTTTTCTGTTAGTCTCCAAGCCTATAGCCTATTTTGTTTACATTTTTTTTTCATTTTATGTAATAAATCCTTCTGTTGTTTGACTTGTTTTCCGATGGCAAGAGTGATTTCTGGGCAAGTGATATTCTAAGCTGACTCTCCACAGAGTGAGGCACCAATACTTTCTTCCACAACTCAAAGCAGGGGCCACTTGGGGCCGGCTGGGTTCCCTCGCGTAGCTGCAGAGTATAATGTAAGAGCAGAGGAATTGAGGTGCTGGGATAGGAAACTACTTTTGGAGCAGTCAGTCTGTTCCTTGGGCAAGTGACAGTGCAGTGGGGAGAAACTCAGGACTCTGGAGGTCTGCTGATTTGTGACATTGGTATTTTACTAAAAATGTTATCTCTGAGATTACAGTTAATACTTCAAAACTGAGCTACATATTCCTTTTACAGTTCTCAGTGCAATGGAATCCTCTTTATGACTGGACCTTCTAGATACTTGTGTAATGTTCATATTTGTATAGATGGTAAAATTGTAAGACTGCCTAACAGCATTTTGTATGTCTTAAACATCCTGAGTAATGTTGCTTAAAATATTGGTTGCCAGTGGGCATGCAGCTGATAACTTGACTGTTATGAAGATTTTCTTAAGAAGTAATTCATAAGTTTAGGCAACAGAATGAATGCGGACACTGGTTCACAAAAACAGAAAGAGGCTTTTCAGTTATTAAAACATGTAGTCAGATGTAGGACTAAACCCTATGCAGTAGGACCTACATCTACCAGGGAGTTTTAATTGGCAAACTTCATCCTTAGTTAGAAAAAAATGAGCATTTTATTTCTGTAATAGAAGTAATATTAGTCGTGAAAGGAAAGCTTTTTAAAAATCTTGTACATACTAAAGGATGGGCTAATTGGGGCCTGATGTTTTCTTCTTTGAAACCTGTTGCTGTTTATTTGTGCTGTTTTACCAAGCATGTGCTGCTGCCCTCCTCTAGTTCATTCTGTTTACATATGATACAGTATAAAAAAATTTCAAATTATGCTTAACATTTTAATCTCTTAACCCTTTTTTCAGGGTATCTGTTCTAAGCTGTAGCTATCTAATTATTAAAGATTGAAGTTTATATAGACAATATTCCCTGGTTATATGACCTGCTGGTACTGTTTGTTTGCTTTATTATTTTGCAGCAAGACAAATGAAATTTTAATGACTTATAGGATAAAATTATTTGTTAGATGTGATCATGCTATGTTGCAATTGCAGTATTTGGAGAGTGTATTGTAGGATGCTGAGTAGACTGAGTAATGTGCTATTGCTCAGGCAGGGTGCAGTTGTTGCTAGGCAACATTTTCTCAGATGCTTGCTGGATTATAATGGCAGCACTGCAGTTGGGGGTTGCAGCTTGATCACTAGAAATCCAGGTCTTATAAACTCCCAGTTTGCAGCATTAGCAAGGGTGATTTGATATAAAGCTCCAGAGCTACTAACAATTGGATAATTAAAAAGATAGTGATAAGTGACCAAATAAAAGACAGGCAACGGTATTGCAGGAGAGCAAGTGAGGGATTGTTTAGCTTAAAAGTCATAATGCAGGAAATCACGAGAGATCAACATAAAAGGGGAAATAAAAGCAGAGGAGAAAGTAGAAGCAGGATAAATGAATGGGCAAGAAAAAAAATTCCCGATTGAAGAAATGTGGAACATGGAAAGCAAAATTAAATGTACAGTGATCAGTTGGGTTTGGATAAGAGGAAACAAAAACTGGTTCTTGCAAGAAATTTTATAAGAAGTATGTGAAACATCAAAGAAAATGGATAGCAAATGCCTTTCAAACCATATTAGTTTGAAACTGAAGCTGGCTTTGCTGTTGTGCATCAAAAAGTAATATTTAAAAATAGTAAAAAATAAGTGAAATATTGTACTATATTTTACAGGGACAAACCTTTTAATATTTCTGGCATAGTGTATTTTCTACTAAAAATAAATAATACATATGTAAGGAAAATGTTGGTTAGTGTTCCATACTGTATATCATGTAAAATAACCTAATTTTTTAAAAAAGAAACAAACCCAAAACACTGCCCCCCCCCATCCCCCCAAAACCCAACCTATTCCACTAACCAGAACAAAATTGTTTGATTTAGTTTTCTATGTATGCAGAAGCTGGTGGTCCAAATATCATTATAGAAGATGAACAGAATTATATTGCATTGTGAGCCTAGTAATTAAAAACAATTCTTTTTGTTTTAATAGTACATTTGGGAACGCCTTGCTGTTGGTTTTAAACACAAGAATAACCGATCCCGAGAGGGAGTGTGCTTGTGTCTCATTGCAACCTTGAACGCGTAAGTTTTCTTGTTTCTTTTGGTCATAAAGTATTATAATTAGTATCCTATCTTATTTCTTAATCGCTTCTTTTTTTCTGAATATAACAGTTTAAGAAGCCTGATGTCTTTGCAAAATTCTTTTTTAAAAAGTGGAAAGTCTGCACACGTATACTTTCTGAACTTTCTACAGTTTTCTGAAAGAATGATGCAAAGGCATGAGAAACTTTGGCTTCATTTAAAAAAAAAAAAAAATGTAACTAATGGACCAGAGCAGGGACTCCAATCCATGTAAACGTTTATTGATGGTAAGCTACAAGGTCGTTTGCTTATAAAACATCTTTTTTCCCTGTTGGCATGACACTTATTTTTGTTTGTTATTGCAGTTATGGTGCACAATCGTTAATCCTCAACAAATTGGTTCCACACTTATGCATCTTGTTTGGAGACTCCAATAGTCCGGTAAGCATTTTATTGCTTGAGCAATTGTATTTTGATGTGAGAGAGAGAGAACTAATGTTTTACACTTAAGTTTTCTCTCTGGTTTTGTTTGTCCATTTGTCCATGTCCATCTTATTCAGTCATGCAGCTTAGTTTTCTTGCTGATCCATTTTTGCACATAAAGACAGTTGTGGGGAAACAGTTCTGATAGTGTTCCTTTTTGAATTGGATTTGTTAGAGTGCTCTCAGTACAGTTGTTTCCTATCTCTGGTAGGTTGAATTGAATCATTGCTAGATACAATTGTTTTCTGTATAGTGTGCTCAAAGAAGAGCAATACATGATAAACAGGAAGGACTGCCCTCCAAAAGGAGACTTAACTGACATTTTTAGGCCTTCATCAGTTTAACTAAGGAAGTATATTATCAAGTAGAAGTTGAACCCTGTCTGCATGCAGTTTTTTTGGGAGGATTAAGAATTTACAGCTTAATTTAATCTCCAGGATGAAAATAGGGACAAATCGCTTTAGTCTCTTGGACTATAAGATAGTCTTCAACAAGAAGTTGTTGAAGTTCATTTTCTGGTTCACTTAAAATTAGGCTGGGCAAAGCATTGCAAAATGTATTAAGCATAATAGAGCTTTGCCAGAGGATGGACTAGATAGTATGTTTCAGCTTCAGAGCATCTTTAATTTGTAACTTTATTTTCCATCCTTATGTTTCCAGCTGTTTGAAGTTAACCTGCATGCTGGGTTGGCATAAAGTGTCTGATAGATTGCTTATTTGGGCTACTATTTCACATATTTTATTACTTTTGTAATTTCTGTTAAAAAGTCCTTCAATTTTAATATGCATTCACAGGTGAGAGATGCTGCATTATTGGCAATTGTGGAGATTTATAGACATGTAGGGGAGAGAGTACGAGTAGACCTCAACAAAAGGGGAATTCCCTCTGCAAGGTGAGCTGTTTAATTTTTGTCACTAAATTATGATTAGTGTCTAGAATACATTTAAAAGTATGCCTTTATTAAGTATTTCATACCATTTTGATACCATCCGCCAGTACATTTTTCTTCTATCATGCTCTTTTAAACTTTGTAGGCCAACAAAAGTAATATCTGCCAGAGCCTTCCAGTATTTATTCTGCCATCTTAATAATAAAAAATACTGTGTAGTTTTTTCTTGCCCTTCCCATAAGTTTGATTTATTGTCAAAGTTGTGAACATATTGTCTAGGTTCCCTGGCATTTTGGCAACCATATGGTGCTTGATTGTTGTCTTAGTTTGTAGTTTCCCTGTAAACATTCATTTTGGTGGCTTTTTCCTATTAGAACAGGATTGTTTTCAAAGGAAAAATAAAGAAGGAACTTCAAGGTGTCGGAGCGGAGGGGCTGTGGCCAGCAGCCCGGGCACGTGGGCCAGGGAAGTCAGCACGGCGAACTAGAATTAGGCACTGACGCGTAGAGGTTGATTAAAGATTATTTTACTTACACCGTAGATGGTCGCGGTGCAGGCAGGAAAACTTGCTTGCGTTGCAGTCGTAGACAGAAGAAAAGAAGAAAACTCGAACAATGAGAGCTCTTTAAACCGATACGAGAGTCCGTGCTGTGACTCTCAACGAGCGCGCAGAGCAGGGGTACATCAAGGATCGTCCAGTGACGGGGAGAGATTCTTGATGGCTGATCAAACCATCATTCAGTCCGAGGTATACGTAGAAATCCACGAGATGATTCCTTGCCGGAATTCTCTCGGATTTCTCCCAACTCGAACAATGAGAGCTCTTTAAACCGATACGAGAGTCCGTGCTGTGACTCTCAACGAGCGCGCAGAGCAGGGGTACATCAAGGATCGTCCAGTGACGGGGAGAGATTCTTGATGGCTGATCAAACCATCATTCAGTCCGAGGTATACGTAGAAATCCACGAGATGATTCCTTGCCGGAATTCTCTCGGATTTCTCCCAGAATTCTCGGAATCGGGGTTCTCGGGATCCTCCTGAGATTCTCGGAGATCTTCGACTTGGGCGGAAACTGCTCAAGCCTCTTATACGGCTAGCAAGCCAATAGCTAGCCGCCACGTGGAAATAATTTAGAACTGGCCAATAGTGGGACACAAATTTGCATGCGAATGGCGGGAACTCCTTTGCAACGGGCATTTAAACACAAAATTAGCTAACATAAAAAGTTCGTTTTCTAGGGATCGAATTAAATAATAGCCGGCACATACACATGTACACATAACCAGATTCATAACAAAAAACTGCACGATCAGGGCTTCAGTGGGCGTCATGGCGAAGGCGCGCGCCAAGCCCTCACTTTCGCCGATGATGATGTCCCTCTGTTTCTCAGGGCTTCTCTCCACCACGCACTCCGAGTCCTGAACCTGTAAACAAAACTCTTAGAAAATAAGTTAACGTATATCAAAATATTTACAAAATCCGCACACAATAGGGCGGTTAGTTAAATGCTCCCCAAAATATATAATATAGGTGTTTGCCAACTCTCTCTAGCATGATCAACTAGATGAAATCATTGAGGAGCCGTCGTCTAGCTCTTCCAAATAATGAAAACCCAACTCATATGCCAATCGCCATTGGCCTGCGTCTCCCAAAATCCGAAGTTGCCGTTTATTGAGTCCAGAACGCTGTAGGAGGAATCCAAACATGAATCGCTCCTCTGGTGTTCTCTGTGGCAACAATGGAAGATCGGATTCACGATGTCTTGCACCTTGAGCGTCGGTCGGGTGTCAATGTTCCCGATCACTGGATATTCTTGGCTCCATCAGGATATGCAGTCGTGATAACTGATGAAGAAGATTACTCACGGGTTGGTTCACCATTGGGTTAAGCAGAATCCGGAGGACAACGATGTTCTTTCATCCATAAACCTCAAGACAACTATCTATGCTGTGGATGGTCACTGTAACGGTTCCAGGGTTTCGTAGATGACAGTGAGGCCATGGTCTTATTTGCTGGAGTGGTGTCAGTCCCAAGGTACATGTTCTGGGGTTCCAGGCACAGTATGATACTCCGATAATCGCTAACCTAAGATGTTCTGCACCGGTATGTTCTGGCCATCCGTCATGCCATGCGTGGGCTTTCTGGTTTATCTGTCCTGCAACAAGCGCTGGAAGTGGAATAGACCAGTGAGCGTTAAACGTCACCATGTCAGTGACATGTCCTCTACTCCACGATGCTTGTCTGACCAAGAAGCTTGCTTCTTCCCGGTTCAGCGGGTCAGACCCAAGTTCCACAGCCAGACGTCCCAACCATACAGCTAGAGTTTCCTGGGGTTGGATTCTTGATTCTCTACACAACTCCTGTAGTTCAGTTCTGGTGCGAGCGTAATAGGCAGTAGCGACTCGACTGGTTGTTGCTACAGGTTGAACTGCTGCTGCGGGAGTCATCGCTGCTGTTATTGTTTCAGGCAGGAGGGGCGGATGCACTCCTCCGCTCGATTCTGCCTTCCGTCGACAAGAAGGCGTGGTCGCCGGAAGCGATGCTGCGTCGGTGGGCAGGGTTGCCGGCCGAACTCCGAAGCTCCACCCTTCTCTTCCAGTTCTTCCACGCAGTCTCTCTCCTGCTCGGCGCCATCTTGGCGTGGCGTCTCAAGATTTTCTTTCGCAGCTGCTTCTTTGACTGCTTGAACGGCAATATGCAGCTGGGCTCTTAAACTTGCATTTTTTTGCATCAAATCAGTTATGGTACGAAATGTTGCAGTTAACATTCTCCCCTTGTCGCACTTCGGGGCCACCCTCTCATCTGCGGCGCATCCCTCCGTCTCCAGATCTTTGCAGCGCTCGGATAGACTCTCGCAACCCCTCAATTTAGACACCACCATAAAGGGGGCGAACCGGTCGATCGACACCGGTTCTTCACTCTCCCGAGCACATCTTAGGCAACGGGCCCGCGCCTGGGTTAGGGTCGTGTTTACTGCGCCTGCCGGGTTGACTGGTGAGGGACACAGTGTCGAGAGGCCTAAACAGGACCCGCTCATTATTCATTATACACCCGAACGCCGCGGGGTGAAGATACACTTCCCTCTGTCTTGGGGCTCCGTCTTCAGAAGCTCCCTCTTCTCCCTTCAGCGAAAGGCGTCCGCTGATAAACCTTTCACCCGTTCCGCCCGCCTGGTGGTAAGCGATATGCGCCTCCAGTTCCACGACACTTGCTACGTCGTGTTTCCCACTTCGCCAAGGGCAATTCTCAACTAATTCTAGTTCTATCGTGCTTTCCCCGTATCCCATCCTCGTCGCCATGTCGGAGCCAAGGGGCTGTGGCCAGCAGCCCAGGCATGTGGGCCGGGGAAAGGGTCGGCACGGTGAACTAGAATTAGGCACTGACGCGTGGAGGTTGATTAAAGATTATTTTACTTACGTTATAGACGGTTGCGGTGCAGGCAGGAAAACTTGCTTGGTTACAGTTGTAGACAGAAGAAAAGAAGAAAACTCGAACGATGAGAGCTCTTTAAACCGATACGAGAGTCCGTGCTGTGACTCTCAACGAGCGTGCAGGGCAGGGGTACGTCAAGGATCGTCCGGTGACGGGGAGAGATTCTTGATGGCTGATCAAACCACCATTCGGTCCGAGATATACGTAGAAATCCACGAGATAATCGTGGACTCGTTGCCGGAATTCTCTCGGATTTCTCCTGGAATTCTCGGAATCGGGGTTCTCAGGATCCTCCTGAGATTCTTGGAGATCTCCGACTTGGGTGGAAACTGCTCAAGCCTCTTATACGGCTAGCAAGCCAGTCGCTAGCCACCACGTGGGAATAAATTTGAAAAGGCCAATAATGGGACACAAATTTGCATGCGAGCGGCGGGAACTCCTTTGCACTGGGGGTTTCTCTCTGCAGCTGAGAATTGCACCATGCAAAGAAAGCTCCATGTGGCGGGAAATAATTCTGCAGTGCCAAAGCGCACACACAATCATTGGGTAATGACACAAGGAAGTGCCATTTTTGTTCTGTCAGATGACTGTGCGCATCCTGACAATCAGTCATGATTGTGCCTTAAGGAATACCTTTAAGTATCATTACTATTCTAAAACCCATGGAAAGCTTTCAAATCCTCCGAGAGACTTCTCCGAATCTGGTCAGAAGTTTGTCATGGAACAAGCTCTTGAAGCAGATGCATCAGATGTATCAATCCCTGAGTGCTGAGAATGAGCTGTAATGTGCATTCTAAAGTCTGTGATACCATGTTCTGCTTCAATAGCAGAGGCAAAATCTCTAGAGAGGTGGTAAGTCAGTGACAGCTAGCAGCTTCCAGGCTGGTGTTTATGAAAGCACCCAGACTCCTGGCAGCACAATGTCAAAGCCTTAGGGTCTTTCTGTCTGCATTTATCATAGGAGCAAGATTCCTAGGTGACTGCCTGATTCCTTGAGGCTGCTGTGACAAGCTCAATGCTTGCTCCAAGACATTCCTTTTGCATTTACTAGGAAGAGTAGGGATAGTTCCTCTTATCACTGGACAGGTTTTTTTGCTTAAAATTATTGGGGAAGCTGAAGATCAGAGTAATATAGGCTACTAATGTTTGGCTTGGTATGGCCTGTTTTAATGTCTTTTTAGTGATACAGCTGCTATTTCCCAGTGTCATCAAATGCTATCAAAGATAGTTGATATTGTGTTGAAATTGGCCATAGAGTGTGCTACAGATAAGGCCGTGAATCAAGGACAACTTTGTAATAAGATTGCTCACCCTTAGCATCTTCTTTTTGACCACTCAGTATAGGTATGGGACCTTCTCACACAGGTCCTGCTTTCTTCTAGGCAATCAAGATCAAATATATCTAATATTATTTCTGTCTGAGTTTCCCCTCATTCTCCCCTATTTCCCCCCCTCCCCTCCACCTCACCCACCCATATTAACAGTTTGTTAATTGCTGGATTTAGAGGGAAAATGAGTATCTTTAATGGCACATAGATTTAAAATCTGAACTGTGATTATGGGACTTGCTG